TTCCCAGGTTTGATTCCTGGTCAGGGCACATGCCCAGGTTGCGGGCTCGATCCCCAGTAGAGGGTGTGCAGGAGACAGCCAATCCATGATTCTCATCATTGATGTTTCTCTCTCTCCCCTTTTCCCTTCTTCTATGAAATCAATAAAAAATATATTTTTTAAAAGAATTATATATCTCTAGTACATCTAACACAACACATTTGTACTGATTACCAGCTGGGCCCTGTTACAAGTGCTTTGAACTTCTTGTTTAATCTTACAGCCACTCCATGAACTAGAAACTATCCATATTCCCATTTGACAGATGAGGAAACTGAGGCATGGGGAGATTAAGTAACTTGCCCAAGATTATATAGCTGATGGGTGCTGATAGGGCGATGCCTAGATTTGAAGCCAGACACTTTGCTCTTTACGGCTCAACACCCCTCAAGCGCTTGAGGATGGAATGCGAGAGTCGAGTTCCTGGGCACCCCGGGAGCTGCCTGGGGAATAGGGGTAATCGGATCAGAGCCAAGGCTCCAGCTTCAGTCCTTCCCCATTAGACACCAAGGGCCCTTGTGTGGGTGTCAGTAGGAGACAACATAGACAGATGGGGAGATGTGGGGAGGAGAGGGACAGTGTGAACCAGCAAGTCACTGACCAAAGCGACCGATGGTGACAGGGTGACTAAACAGGGGTGGAAAGGACAGGAATTGGGTGAGAGAAAAGTCACAGAGTGTGTGTGTGTATGTGTGAGTGAATACACATGGGCCCATGTACACACACACATGCTCACACGTGCTCCTCAGGGGTGCAACCTGTCTCCCCTGTCTCCCCCCTTCTGCCCATCTGTGCCCTGACCTGGGCCTCTCCTTCTACCAGCATCTGGGCTAGCCCCTCACCCCATCTCTCTCCCCTGCCTTCCCTGCCTTCCCACTAACTCCCTCCCGCATCCTCCCTCCGCCCACGAGTCACTCATTCATCGGACCAGGATGTGCGCTCGCGCCAACCTCTCCCCCAGGTGCTCTGGGAACCGTGGGGAACAGACAGGGAGAAGGTCCTGCCTCCAGGAACCAGACAATGAAAACCGATCAAGACAACGTCAGGCTGTGCTGAGGAGCAGGAGAGAGAGGAGCCAGGGGAGTGAGAAAGAGGCAGGAGCCAGGGGCGGCTTCACCCCAGACGCCAGGGAGGGCCTTCCCGGCTGACCCTTGAGCTAAGTCCTGAGGAGCCCACTGTGCCACAGCCTGGGGGGCACAGCTCACGGAGGAGGGAAGCGTGTTCCAGGCAGAGAGGAGAGCATGCAACAGAGGGCCCCGCACTCTGGGCCGAGGGAACCACAAGTGCAAGGTCCTCAGAAGCAGGGCGGGCCGGGGGGTGCGGGGGGTGCTGTTTGAAGAGCAGAAAGAAGCCCCGTGCAGCCAGCGGGCTGGCCCCGGCTGGCACCCAGGGCTCTTGGTCCAGTCCCTCTGGCACAGACGGGGCTACTCTTTCCTGCTCTCTGAGGTCTGCCTTTCCCAAGCGCCTGCTGTGCGTGTCCACACCTAGCGCTGCAGGTGGGACTCGGGCCGGCCCTTGGGCGCAGGACTTGCCCTATAACCGCCCCCGTTCCCACCGGGCCTCAGAGCCCCGCCGCCCTCAGCGCAGGCCTCACCCGCCTCCATTTCCCAGCTCCCGTTCCTCAGCCCACAGCGTCTCTCCTAGTGCTCTCTCTCCCACCAACCTTCTCTGTTTCCCTGCCCTCCCTCCTCTCCTCTGGTGCCCCGTCCCTGGCCCCAGTTTGTGGATCCTGGGACACCAATCCAGCCGATGAACCCCGACTGCAGCCTCCATGCCAGCCAAGCATCCCCCAGTTCCCAACCAAAGGGGTTTGGTGCACGGGAGACAGAAAATCCTGGTTTGACCCTGGCTCTGCCATTAACAGCTGTGTGACCTTGAGCAAGTCAGGTTACCTGGGTGGCCCTCAATTTACTCTAAAATAAATTAGGGTCACATCCTGCCCATCTCAAGGGTTCAAGAGAAATAGACAAGTCGGCTGTGGAATTACAAACATTCATCGAGTACTGCTGGGCTCCAGGCCTTCGTCTAGGTACTTTGTGCATAGTAACTAGTTTCAACCCCTAGGATAACCCTGCAAATTGTCAATTACTCTGATTTCACACAGGAAAAAATTGACCATCAGAGAGGTTAAGCAACTTACCCAAGGTCACACAGGAAGTAGCAAAGTCAGGATTTGAACCCAAACCATCCGACTCCCAAATCTGTGCCCTCAACTGCTATGTGATAAACATACCCGACAACCCCTTGGGAACTCTAAAGCACTGTCGGAAAGACAATCACCTGCTGGGCCGACATCCCCTCCCACCACTGCCCCATCCCTCTCAGCTCCCAGAGAGCCCTTCCCTGGCCTCCCACGCCCTGCGCAGCTTCCCCTGCTTCCCAGCCTCCTTGCTCTTGGCTCTGGGAGGAGACCCTCAGCACTCCTTGCATCTGGCAGCTTCCTTCCTCTCCACCCACCCCTCCCAAATCTCCAGTTTCCCAGAGCTATGACTAACAGCGGAGCCATCAGCAGGCACCCAGCCCTTCACCCCCCATACCACTTCCCACCCCTCCTGCCTCGCTGCCCCCAGGAGCCCGAGGGACAGAGTCCTCACCTCTGGGCAGGGTCCCCTGACCCACTCAGATGGAGACTCCCATCCCCTGCCTCCTCCTCCATCCCTTTCCCCTCCCTCCTCCTCTCTCTGCTTCCACCAGTTCCACCACCTCACCCCAACCCACTTTCCATTGCTCTGGATTTTGGAGTCACGGAGAGTCTTAGCAGCAGGGGCTCTGGGTTCAGGCCTGAACTCCTCACTTGCTAGTTGTGCGTGTGGCCGAGGGCGAGTTGTTTAACCAACTCGGGGCTTTAGTTTCCTCAACTATGAAATGAGGGAGTCTCTCAGTCTACCCGCCTTTCCAGGAGGCGGGCGAGGGTCGAAAAAAATCAAGGACGGCAACCTGCTTTGGATGAAAACGACTTCTTGAGAGAAGGGCAGTTTAGAGCCCGGATGGAGTCCCTGCCTGGCTGCCTTTTATTAGCTGCGTGACTTCGGTTAAGTTACTTAACCTCTCGGGGCCTCAGTTTCCCGATCTTTAAAACGGGCTAACACTGGTTCCCGCCTCCTGGAGTTGCCGTGACAATCAACATGAGTTAATACGTATCGACCTCAGAACAGTGTCTGGCACGTAAGTGTTGGTTGATTTTTATTATCGTTATTTCCCTGATGCCTATTCAGTAAGTTTAATAAGGAAATAAACCTTCACCATTCCCTCCCTTGACCAC